GATGGTCACAGCGGGATGTCAGGGAACGTTCTGAAAGTGAGCTAATGCTAAGCGAATTGCGTGCAAGGAACAGGGCGGGCGTCAGTTCCGTGGAGAACTTCTAACAAGCCATTCAGCTGCAGGGCAGCTCTGATAGTAATGCAATCTGAACATTGATAAGGGGCCTTCAGCTGTGCCATTAAAGACCAAAACACGCCACCCAACTGGGGTAGTTAAGATAGACCCACAGACCTCGCGTTCTCAGCAGGAGGGTGAAGAACACGATAATGTCAGCATGACTAACACAAGACTTACAAAGCACTGGTATCCCGAAGGGTTGAATCACAGCTGTAGCCTGGTTCACGCAAAACATTGCCAAAGACCAAGCTGTGCTTCTTTGTGCCTTTTCAGAATGTGCTTCTCTCCTGAAGAGGGCCAGAGCTCAGGGACAGAACATTTGCTGCAAATCCTACAAGTGTCTCTATTTTCCAGGGACAGTCCTGGATTTACAGAAATGTTGGAGGGTACGGTAGGATGTCTCTATTTCCATTGGAGAAATGTTGGAAGGTATGGAATAGGATGTCCCCAGGGCTTTTTTTTCAGCCAGAACTCACTGGAACTCAGTTCTGGCACCTCTCAGGTGGGCGCCATTGCCATTCTAAGGGAATGAGGTGTTTGTGGTGAGTTCTGGCACGTCTTTTTCAAGAAAAATAGCACGGGACGTTCCTATTTTCATGAGAGAAATGTTGGAGGGTATGGACAGGACGTCCCTATTTGCACAGGTGAAATGTTGGAGGGCATGCTACTGAAGGTCCCAAGTTCAGTCCTTGGGGTTGGGGGTGCCTCCTGTCTGAAACTCTGGGAAAGCAGCTGCCAATCAGTGTAGACAACACTGAGAGAGATGGACCAATGGCCTGTCACCGTATTAAGGCAGCTTCCTGTGTTCTGTTAAAACGAGGGTGGGGAACTGTATCCACCTGGGAATGTCTCCTATCTGAATGTAGACGTTCTGAGATAGATGGACCATTGGCCAGTCTCAGTATAAGGCATATCTCTGTGTTCCTGTAAAATAGGGGTGAGGAATTGGTTCTAACCAGCAGGCTGTATCCTTATCTCCCTCATGTCCACCTGTCAATCACCAATCTCAAAGATTTCTGATGACTATATGGTGCCAAGGGAAGGGCCAAATGGGGAGGCTGGAGGGCCTAAATATTGATGATGATGATGATGATGATGATGATGATTATAATTATTATAATTTATTACTGTATTGGCCTGAAAATAAGCCTCACTCCCCCCCAAAAAAAATTCTGACTGTGAAAAGTTAAAGTGTGGCTTAAATTCGCGACCTTACAAAAATCGGCTTTTACGATATCGCTGCAAAAACAGACATAGGGTAAAACGGAACAGGTGTGAGTGCCTGAAGAATTTTAAGGGAGCGGCTTATATTCAGCTATTGTCTTTTTTTCCTCTCTCCCCCCCCCATGAATTTTAAAGGTGTGGCTTCTATTTGGGTGTGGCTTATAGTCAGGCCAATACAGTATTTATACTCCGCCCATCTGGCTGGGTTTCCCCAGCCACTCTGGGTGGCTCCCAACCGAATATTAAAAACACAATAAAACATCAAACATTAAAAACTTCCCTATACAGGGTTGCCTTCATATGTCTTCTAAAAGTCAGATAGTTATTTCCTTGACATTTGGTGGGAGGGCATTCCACAGGGCAGGCACAACTACCAAGAAGGCTCTCTGCCTGGTTCCCTCTAACCTCACTTCTTGCACTGAGGGAACCCCCCAGAAGGTCCATTGGCTGGAGATGCTCCTCCATTGCTGTAAAAATTATCCTCGAATCATTGGACTTTGGTGCTGTTTCCTGACTTCTTAGGACTGATCCAGGGGTCACAGCGACTGCTACACAAAGCACTGTGCAGTTCAGGGGGCCATCAGTAGAATGAACCAATTTCCTATCATAACGTTGGCTTACATGGTGGCAAGGGGTACTGTCTGAATATGGAAACGGGCAGTTCACATTATATATTCAAGCGGCTGTCAACGTTTCTAAAGCAGTTGAGTGGGAGCAACGCCGAACATAAGATGACAAGCCTTCATCTGTCACTAAACCTTATCGGAAGCTCGGGTTTGTTTGCCACCCTCAAAATATGCTAGTTTCTGCAAATTGTTCCGTGCTGATGAAGTCACCTTGGGAAGGTCTGGCGACTGAGCCAGAGGGTCATGGCAAATCTGCATATGTGTAATGAACTTAAATTTGCATAACAAGCATGAGCAAGCAGAAAGGTTGGTGGATCTTTTATAGCATTAAAATATGCACACTTCTGCAATGTGCAGTTTTAGGCTGGGAGGAAGTCATTCTCACTCCCAGAGTGTTTTTTAAAAGTGGGAGCACCTGAGGAATTCTAGGTACCAATATAACAAAGGAACAGAAAAGACTTTTTATGTATGCGACAACAGCCGTACGGATGCTACTTGCCCAGAGATGAAAAGAAGATAAAGTCCCTACCAGAAAGGAATGGCAAATTAAGCTGTTGGGTTATGCTGAAATGGCAAAACTGACTGGAAGACTCAGGAACCAAGAAGATCTAAACTTAAGAATGGGGGGAAATTATAATTTATCTAGGAGATCACTGTAAACAGATGAAAGCACTAGCAGGATTTTTATAACACTTGTAATGTAATGAATAGGGATGCGGGCGGCACTGTGGGTTAAACCCACCGGACTTGCCGATCTGAAGGTCGGCGGTTCGAATCCCCGCGACGGGGTGAGCTCCCGTTGCTCGGTCCCTGCTCCTGCCAACCTAGCAGTTTGAAAGCATGTCAAAGTGCAAGTAGATAAATAGGTACCACTCCGGCGGGAAGGTAAACAGCGTTTCTGTGTGCTGCTCTGGTTCGCCAGAAGCGGCTTAGTCATGCTGGCCACTTGACCCGGAAGCTGTCATGAGCGCGCAACCCCAGAGTCGGTCACGACTGGACCTAATGGTCAGGGGTCCCTTTACCTTTAATGTAATGAATATTATGTACAAGATGGAAAGATACAAAATATGGATTGTGGAAAAATATTCAGTTAAAAAGGTGTACGATAGGACCCATGGGGAAGGTGGGAAGTCCAGAGATTTGGAGAAATCTCTAAACATGGATATGTAATTTGGATTGTTATAAATTAATATTTGTAAAACCTAATTTTATATTTCGATATATAGATATAATAAAAAGTGGGAGCATCTGCCAGGAGAAGTAATGGAAAGCGAGAAGACCAGGCCTTAAGAATTTGCTTCCTGTTCACTCATATGAAATGTGTATTTTGCAAAGTGCACAGTAGACATATTGGTATCCAGATTCTTTGTGAATTATGCACAGCTGTTCAAAAACAATATAAGGCTACCCTCTATTCTCTTTGCTGTATTTATGGCCAATAGTCACTCCCACACAAAAAAACACCCAATTGACTAGCATTAGGTGACCAGCATTAGCCATGACTAGTGTAATGGACTCACCAGGGTGGGCTGTCTTTGGAGGGCTTTGTGTCGTTGTGTGCGGTAGAAAAAATTAAACATGTCGCAGAGTTCGCAAAAATAGACCAGAAGCAATTGTATTTCATCCAGCAGAGCTTTGCTGCTACTGAAGGCAAATGACCATAATGGTCACAAATCCAATACATTCAGGATTGGCACTGTCCATAAGAAATCCAGTTGCAGCAGACTTAACTTAAATTTACAATACTTATAATAAGACTAAACCTTAACCTTAGAACAGAACACAACATAGTCAGCATGGCCCTGACAGAAAGAGATAACAGAGCCAGTTTAAACCAGCTGTACAGTACTCAGCTTCCCGGAAGGAATAACCCAAACAAGAAGCTTCTTTCAAGCAGAGAAGAAACCTTCCAGAACCCTCTTGATCTAAGCAGAACAGGAAAGATCAATACTTTCTGTACTAAGAAATGCAAACTTGTGGGATGTAAAGGTGCGGTCAAGTGCAACATTCCTACAGAGGACTAACGGCCTCCATGTTCTAACCAGTTGCTGTGACAACCAGTTTGTCGGTTGCTGGTAGTTTTGAAAGATAACTGCTCAGTTGCAGTGACCTCAGGACCAGCTTCCCTCTGATATAGTTTATTTGCTTGTTATGTAACCTAAGCCTGCCTTCAGGTACAGTTCTGTAAACCTGAATGAATCTGAGAGTAAAATAGTTTTATATTAACATGAATCAGATTCGTCTGTGTATTCTTTAAGAGGGATTCAAAGGGATTTTTAACCAGGAAGGCATCGTTATTAGTAGAACGCAGACGAGTCAGCAACAAGCTCATAGCTGCATAAACCTATAAAGGGGATTGTTTAACCCTGCTAAAGTAAGGTAAAGGTAAAGGGACCCCTGACCGTTAGGTCCAGTCATGGACGACTCTGGGGTTGCGGCGCTCATCTTGCTTTATTGGCCGAGGGACCCGGCTTACAGCTTCTGGGTCATGTAGCCAGCATGACTAAGCCGCTTCTGGTGAACCAGAGTAGCGCACGGAAATGCCATTTACCTTTCCGCCAGAGCGATACCTATTTATCTACTTGCACTTTGTGCTTTAAAACTGCTAGGTTGGCAGGAGCAGGAACCGAGCAACAGGAGCTCACCCCGTTGTGGGGATTCGAACCGCAGACCTTCTGATCGGCAAGCCCTAGGCTCTGTGGTTTAACCCACAGCACCACCCGTGTCCCATCTGCTAAAGTAAACCTTCCCACAAAACTTAGACTTTGATCATTAGCCTATCCAGTAAAACAGTTGTTGGAGAAGGGATCTGTCACAGCCAGAGTGGGGGACCTCGGTGCCACAGTCTGGTTGGATGCAGAGGGATGGTGGGATGAACCAGCTGGGGAACTCCCAAGGGAAGCTCAGAGCCCAGGGATTGGTGGTGGGACGACGATGAGCAGACTGGGAGGAAGTATCAGAAGCTGGAGAGGGAACAGGGCTTAGTGAGCTGGGAGAGCCTGTGACAGAGAGAAGTTCAGAATCAGAGGCAGAGGCAGGAGAGGAGGGAGGCGAAGAGGCAGAGATGAGACTGGCTGCTGAACAGCCATGGTTGTCTCCTCCTCCTGCTGGCAGATGGGGCTCAACAACCTTTGAAGATAGCCCTGTCAGGAGAAGGAAACGCCATACACATCGCCCAGGGTAGGTCACTTGGGTGGTGCTAACGGAGAGGTTTGACCTCACCCCCAGAGTTGCACTCCATGGTCTCTCAAGACAGACGGAGGCCAACAACAGGGGAACAACAGTTCTCCATAGCTGACCCACCATCGTTTTAGCCAAACAATAGCCAGTCCACTTCTGGCGGTTGCCTCCCTGCGAGAAGTGAGGTTACAGGGAACCAGGCAGAGGGGCCTTCTCGGTAGTGGCACTTTCCCATCAGATGTCAAGGAAATAAACAACTATCTGAATTTTAGAAGACATCTGAAGGCAGCCCTGTTTAGGGAAGTTTTTTTAATGTTTGATGTTTTATTGTGTTTTTAATACAGTGGTACCTCGGGTTAAGTACTTAATTCGTTCTGGAGGTCCGTACTTAACCTGAAACTGTTCTTAACCTGAAGCACCACTTTAGCTAATGGGGCCTCCTGCTGCTGCCGCCGGAGCCCAATTTCTGTTCTCATCCTGAAGCAAAGTTCTTAACCTGAAGCACTATTTCTGGGTTAGTGGAGTCTGTAACCTGAAGCGTATGTAACCTGAAGCGTATGTAACCCAAGGTACTACAGTATTCTGTTGGGAGCCACCCAGAGAGGCTGGGGGAACCCAGCCAGATGGGTAGGGTATAAACAATAAAATATTACTATTACTATTACTATTACTATTACCGTACTATTATTTTGCCCACACTCACTTAGTGGTGGTATTTTCCTATGGTTCCACCGAAACAGAGGCCTAGGGAGCCATAAGTAGGTGAATATGTTTTAAGATGGGTCCCCATGAAATGGCTGCTACAGGTCATTCTGTAATTCACGGAAGGGATAAAATGAGAGCAACTAGTAGATTAAAATGTCTGATGATCTGAAGTCCCATGATCTGATCCAATCCTGAACAACAACAACTGTTGGCCTTAGTTTTAATTGCACAACTCGTAAGAAAGTGGGCTTTTTTTCACAAACATCTTATCAATAAACTGTGAAATGTACATTCTCAAAAAGATCTGGAAGCAGTTTATCATCCCCCCACTGCCCATATTTGCATTTCTAAAGGCATCCCACAGTTTTGAAAATTATTTGTATGAAGCGCCTTAGGCCATTCTGTCAAGCCTTTGTTTAGAGCCAAAATTTTGCTGAAGCTCTCCCAACATGGGAAGAGAAAGTGTCACAAAATACCTGAGTGTTTCTGGTGCCTGTGTAGTCTAAGATTTGTGTGATCATTTACTTTATTGTTCTTTATATTCTTAGCCAAGGGAGAAATTTATTCTGAATCTGATATGGGGCATGTCCAATACTAATGATCAAGCTAAAATTGTATTGTTATTGTCTAACCAAGATAAATTTGTTATAGATAGGGTAACCAGATTTGTGGTGATTGTTTAAAAGTTAAGGAAAATGTTTGCTGAGGATAATTTGGTGAACTGTAAAAATGTTATATGATACACAAGTTATTGATTATAGCCCCCGTATATAAATCTAAGGAAAAAGCATATTGATTTTAATTCTGCAACTTCCAGAGAAGCTATATATTGTTGGCTGGGTTTGGGGGGGGGGGGTTTACACTGCTGATAACATGTTTCTTTCTTGTTTTATTTATAGTTTAAGATTGCTGCAATGGCCATAATGGTTGAAACAATAAATACTTATGCAGGGAGGAAGTCAATCTCAAAATCCCCAACCTGCAGTTTGGAGTGGTACTTTCCAGTGGAAACATGTGATCTGTTCTCTGTGATGGGTGTACCTGAACAGCAAAAGGGGATGGCTTTTCTCCAGAAAAGGGAGATGTTAACACTTGGAGAATGCAGGCTGAAGAGAAAGATTCCATCAATTACAAAACCGATTTAAACATCTTTTGATTGCAATTGACTGATAGCTTAGTGGGGTCGATTTGTTCCATCTGTCTCAAACTGAATGCCTTCTGACCTTCTTTTTTTGCAGGAGTGGCATCAGCTGCTAATATCTTTAGTCGCAGACTATTGGAAGAATTTATAAGCGATTATCTACTGGTGTTATTTAGGAGTCTTTTAATTGTCCTAACTGTTAATTTTCCCCGTGGCTGGGAAATTAACATATGTATTAGTGACTATCTGGCCTTAATGAGTTTCCCAGCAACATATCAAAGAAGAAGAGACAGTCGTTGCAGAGAGAGAGAGAGAGAGAGAGAGAGAGAAAGAATGAACGAAAGATAGGAGAAAGCACCTGGGGATCAAAGCTATCACTCTGATGGGAATTTGAAGCACTGACTTAATTGACCATAAGAAACATTTTCCCTTTCCACTAATCTGAATTTCCCTGAGCTGCCAAAATTGCAGATGAAAGTGGAAAGCATCCTTGACCTCTTCTGACAAGCAAAATGTCCCCCCCCCCTCATGTGTAGAAAGGAGGATATTTTTGGAGTGATTTACAAGGTCTGGGAGCTGCAAAGAAAAGGTGTCAGAAAAGTGCATTCTGAACGGACTCCTTCATCCTCGGCTGCGCCTTGACCCATAAAGAGATGTTAAAGAACATTTCAGTGCTTGTCAGTTTACATACTGTCCCGATTCAGCTAGGTCTCCTGATGTGAATTTGAGCGCGGGGCGGGGTTGGGGGCACAGGGAAAGCCTCTTGCTCGATGGCAGTGGCATGAGAAAGGACTGCTGCCCATTTCAAAGGTGGAAATATATGTTCATTGTGGTCACTAGTCAGTAAACACAGGGGAGAAGGGACCTGTCTATACAGTCATGTTTCACATCATGAGGACAACATGAATAAGCATCTGCAGAGGATTTTCCTTGGACAAACTGGATTTAGGAAAGCTTGAAGGCTGGATTTACCCTCAGCAGAACTGGCCCTCTTGCACTTGCCACAAAACGTTTGCTCCACACTTGCAAGGAGGAATCAATCCTTTTGTATGGCAGCACCAACTCTCTCGAACTTCCTGCCTCTCAATATTCAGCAGGTGCCTTCATTGTAGGCCTGCCTGTAATTTTGGTGGTGTGCATTTGTTTGCACACCATGCTCTAGTTATCTCTCGCTTGGACTACTGCAATGCGCTCTATGTGGGGCTACCTTTGAAGGTGACCCAGAAACTACAACTAATCCTGAATGCGGCAGCTAGACTGGTGACTGGGAGCGACCGCCGAGACCATATAACACTGGTCTTGAAAGACCTACACTGGCTCCCAGTATGTTTCTGAGCACAATTCAAAGTGCTGGTGCTGACCTTTAAAGCCCTAAAAGGCCTTGGCCCAGTATACCTGAAGGAGCTTCTCCACCTCCATCATTCTGCCCAGACACTGAGGTCCAGCGCCGAGGGCCTTCTGGCAGTTCCCTCGCTGCGAGAAGCCAAATTACAGGGAACCAGGCAGAGGTCCTTTTCGGTAGTGGCACCCACCCTGTGGAACACCCTCCCACCAGATGTCAAAGAGAAAAATAACTACCAGACTTTTAGAAGACATCTGAAGGCAGCCCTGTTTAGGGAAGCTTTTAATGTTTAATAGGTTATTGTACTTTAGTGTTCTGTTGGAAGCAACCCAGAGTGGCTTGGGAAACCCAGCCAGATGGGCAGAGTATAAATATATTATTATTATTATTATTATTATTATTAAAAAAACAGCTGATTGTTATCTCTGTTCTGATACATTTCATTCCTCCTCGTTTTCAAGGTTTGATTTTGTTTCCTCGTGTATAGTTTTATACTGTTTTATGCAAACCGCTTAGAGTTTTTCTGTCGGATATTTCGCAGGTAAATCTTTTTAAAATAAATAATAAATGGACTGTGAAATCTGTGGTGTGTCAGGTCAGCAGCTCACCCGGTCCAGGTTTTGGGGGCTGGGGAGATTTGCAGCTACTTATGTTGATTTCAAGCCTTTTCAAGCCTTCTCCCGCGATTAAAGAGTGTGGTAAATACCCGTTCAAATGTAAAAATATTTAACCGATTAACTGACTGAATTAATTGAGGAAAAGCTTTTGCTCAACCAAAAATTGCAAGTAAACAGGGGGGCCGTGACAGTGAAGAGGGCTAGTGCTATTTAAAATATCCCCTCCCCAGTGTCTCCGATGTGCAGAAGATCACTGAAGATCCCAATATGCAAAATATCTTGGCTGGATTTGGGAGTTCAGAGGTTGGGGGTTCAATCAGCCTGGCAACAGGGAAAGATGGGCAAGATTGCTATAAGACTTGATGGGCTGTTCACAGAGCAGACCATGAATTTCCCACCTGTGAGTTAGGGTCAGGATTTTTGTGAAGATGCCATTTAATAGCAATGCTAATAACTTTATTATTTCTGTTTGTGTTCTTTTATTTGTGTTATAAAATGAATAAAAAAAAATATGGGGCGGGGGGAGAACACTAAATGACTAAAAACTTTAGCAGAACTTGAGTAACGCTTGTAATGTATTAAAAACTGAGGTCCTCCCTGGTAAAATCACTTCAGCCTCAGTCAGCTTTTCAATTAATAAAGAAGAGTGTATTTTATTTCAGACACAAACAAAACTTTTACAGCATTCCAAACGTTGCTGCCCTTTACTTTCTTAGTCTTATTTTCCTCTCTCTCTATCTCTTCTACCTCCCCACACTCAAGAACCCACTGCCCTAACTGTCTCTCAATTACCAACTGCCTTTCCCAACCAGCAACCCATGAAATCCAACCAACTACCCACCCACAACTCCCAACGAACTCCTCCCAGAACTAGTTTTATAGACCCACTGACTCCACCCCCCTGGGTCCTGTCTGTGTACCCTGTTTAACTATTTCCCCTCCAGCACTCTCTCATATATGTTAACGTCACAGGTACATTCCCTACGAAAGTTCAGTGAAGTGAAGTGGAAGATAGAGCCCTACTTTCTGAAAGCAAACAATGAGTTTCCCCAGCCTGGCCCTCCCTGCCAGACACTTTCTGATCTACTTCTCCTCTAACTTAAATGCTGCTTTTTGTTTTCAAAATCTGACTGGGAAGTAAAGCCATTGACTTCATCATCATAAGCCGCGGAAGAAAGCACTTCTCCCAGTCCTTCCTGATGTATTACAAGTTCATTGTGGCAGGTCAGGGAACAACCAAACAACACTAGAACAATACGTTGTTGTTTTTTGTTTTGTTTTTTAAGGACAAAAATCAAACCCATTTTGATAAGCTCCAACCAATCAAAGGTAGATATTGTCCTTTTCTTTTTGATGGTAATAATCCAAAGGCATGAAACAGATGTCTAGTAGGATCATGCAATCAGACACAAAAGGTAAAGGACCCCCCTGGATGGTTAAGTCCAGTCAAAGGCTACTATGGGGTTGTGGCGCTCATCTCGCTTTCAGGCCGAGGGAGCCGACGTTTGTCCACAGACAGCTTTCCGGGTCATGTGGCCCGCATGACTAAACCACTTCTGGCACAACGGGACACCGTGACAGAAGTCAGAGTGCATGGAAACGCCATTTACCTTCCCGCCGGAGCGGTACCTATTTATCTACTTGCGCTGATGTGCTTTTGAACTGCTAGGTTGGCAGGAGCTGGGACAGAGCAACGGGAGCTCACTCTGTTGTTGGGATTTGAACCACCGACCTTTTGATCAGCAAGCCCAAGAGGCTCAGTGGTTTAGACGTACACGTGTTCTCCATGTACCAGGGTCTAACAATGTCAAGTGCCAGTCCAATTGTTTTCCATACATCACCATTTGGGGGCACCATTTTGTTCTTCACCTTAGACAGCAAAATGTTTGGGGTGGGCCCTGTCTTGAAGATGCCTCACAGAAGAACAGAAGGGAAGGGATGGAGATCTGCCAGTGGCTGTGCTTTTCAGCCCCAACGAAATGTACAGAGAACTGGAATTAAGACTGTGGAAGTCTCTTGAGAAATATCACAGGACTGGGCCACGGTAAATAGCCATTTCTATGTAATAGAAGAGCGAATTTGTTGCAGCGATCTCTTACCAACATACTGGGTGGCATTCAGATGGCAGATATGGAAGATGTAATTACCTAGAGTATACATGCCTGCCACCATTCAATCTTTGATAGGATTCTTTAAACGAGATCATCGCGAGGTCAAGAGATTTTAAAGCCAGAAATGGGAATATTTACTTACATTAGAAATGGAAACTTAAAATAAAAAAACTCAGGAACAAACATTCTTATGAACCCATTCAAAGGTATTTGGACTTAGTTCATAAACGACAAATCATCAGGGACGTGCTCGCCATTAAATGGATTGGATTGTGATAAAAGCCAAAAAATGTTAATTGCAGATGCTAAATGAAAAATAAAACCTGACCGATAAACGAATGGAATGTCTTCCTTTACCTGATAATCTTACTTGGAGCTTTCTGTTAAAACATCTTGGCCCTCAATATACTGCGATGGAACTGAATTGCCAATGGGCTCCATTTGGTCATGTGCATACTCTGGTTTTAATGGTTGGGTCCAATGAAGGTTTTCAGTTACCCTTGTATGATCTGAAACTGGATTAAAAAAAACCCTTTGGAAAGCCAAATCAAAAAGCCACATCATGGAACGGTTGTGAAGCAAAGCCCTTTTCACATGTCTCTCAACATGCAAAGGCCCTTATTGCATGTCGAGGTCCCCAGGGCCACCCCAATAACTCACACATCACACAGAAATTTTTGTTTAAGGTTTTTGGCATAATTTTGGCCACAACTTTATTAAAATACAAAAATGTGAGTGGTTGCTTAGGCATTGGTTGCGACTATCTGCCCCCCCCCCCCGCATGGGGGACAGACTGACATTCTGCACGCCTGCGAAAGTCAGAAAAGGGGAATACACTTGAGGGTAGCGATGGAGCAGGGAACCTGCCCTCAGCCCTCCCCAAATGCAACCAGGAGCTCTTGCAATGGTCCGAGCCCCCTTGACAGGGTGGACAAGCAATAGTTAGCCCCCAATTCCTTTAACGGAATCCCT